TATTTTTGAGTCGATAAATGCACTTCCGACGTTCACGGGTTCAATTTTGCATAGTTATCAAAAATTTTGTTAAGCGGGAAATCTACCTACGGTTTGCGGGAAACGGAACTCTATAGCGGCGCAAGACGATATTTCGAGAGTCGAGGATGTGCTGACAAACCATTCACTATATCTATGCAACGAAAGGTGAAATCACTGGCATGATAGCTCCTGCAATGGTAATTGAATCAATTCAGGTCGCGACCGTGTTCACTCCAGAAGGCTGCGACAACCTCGTTTGGCGCGCTTCTCAATACTTCCAAAACATGTTGTGATCGGTAAGTGGACTCAAGGAATTAGTTTCTCAACCCACTCGATTTCTCCACCCTATTATTTGTCTGAGGATTCTAGCAAACAAACAAGTAAATTTGGATGGAAGATGAAATTGTCTCCCTAAATGCGGCCAGATTATATTCTCCAGGATGGCGGCACAATTAAACGTGTCTTTCAAGTCAGCTCTAATTTGTGGTTTGTATAACAATTGCGATCTCCCTATTTTCGCTTAAGCTTTCTTTGATTAAACTTTCATAAAAACAAAACAACGCAGACATTCTCCTGTATAACCAGTGACTCGATCGGCTGGAGAAAATATTTGCTTCCAAGTCGGGTAAATGCCAGTATATATTTACATTTAGTATATACTAAAACAGTGGATAGTGTTTTTCGGGCGCTCTAATTGGCTACTCAATCAGTGAATATCCTGCACTATTAACTGATTCACCTCCAGTTCCTCCGAGCGAGCGACGCCAAACTTGCGTAGGTTGCGAACAAAATGCTTTCCCGGTTTGCTGCCGGCAAACTAAGAAATTTCACAACTAATCAAGCAAGCTATTTCCGAAATACATGAAGAAGGTGACGAAGTTCGGTTTGGAAGTTTTAACAGGTAAAGCTTTGTCTTTTTGACTTGAATAGTTATCGATAAAACGGGTGAAAAAGTTTTTTGTTTACAAATGCAAATTAAGCTTAAGTCTTGCGTTACTTTATTTAGTTGACTTGTTCATAAATAAGCTTAAAACTACATTTAATAATCTTTTTTACAGAATTATTTTAAATACAAACAGAATTCACAACTCCCTTTGAAGAAACTTCCCCGCAAGAGCTAAATAAACGCCTTCAAAAGTTTTATTTGTCGCTAAGAAAAAGCGACGACCGCGGCTGTTCGGTCATCGCGCGCCAAAATTGTAACCGTTGGCAACGGTAAATGAGTTAAAAATCATCATTTTGTGCTCAATAGACCTTTTTACCGATACGGCGGCCATATTGAATTAATTCGATTTAAGGAGTATTATAGGATGCCCAGGGGTCATGAGCGCATTTCATTTGTATTTTCGAGGGCTTCTCGGGACATTTTTTCTTAAAGTTTTCTTAGAATAAGATTGCAATGGGAAAATAGATCCCTGTGCCGTGTTTTGATGTATATAATGATCGCCCTTTTCCCGAGAAATATACAATGAAAGACCATATTTCTAATACTAAACTAGAAAAAGGCGATCATTATTGCATCCAAACACGGCACAAGGATCTTTTTTCCCATTACAATCTTATTCTAAGAAAACTTTAAGAAAAAATGTCCCGAAAAGCGCTCGAAAACACAAACGAAATGCGCTTATGCCCCCTGGGCATCCTATAATACTCCTTAAATCGAATTAATTCAATATGGCCTCCGTATCGGTAAGAAGGTCTATTATCTCACTGTTTTAGTATAAACTAAAACAATTATTCACCTCAGTGTCGGTGGCTAGTAGTGGATTATTACCTCGCCGCTTCGCGGCCTCGGTAAATATCCAATACCAGCCACCTCCTCTTCGGTGAATAATTGTTATTTATCCCATCTTGCGTACCGCAAAGTCAATCGCAGATATCCGGGTATATAATTATGACTGAGCACTTCTAGGATAAAAAATTAGGTATTTGTTCTATATCCTTTCTGGTTCATCCAGGCAGAAGTCCTGGCATGATGTTATTATGCCTGAGCGCTTCTAGGATATATAACACGTTCAGTATTTCGACCCGCAGCCGAGAAAAAATTAGGAAGGTGTTTGTTCTATACCCATTTTGGTTCATGCAGGTAGAAGTCCTGGCATGATGTTAGTACGCCTTAACGCTTGTAGGATATATAACACGTTTAGCATTCCGACTCGTAGCCGAGAAAAATTAGCTAGTTGTTCTATATCCTTTCTGGTTCATCCACGTAGAAGTCCTGGCATGATATAATTATGCCTGAGCGCTTCTAGGATATATAATACGTTTAGCATTTCGACGCGTAGAAAAAATATAAGGCAGTTGTTCTATATCCTTTCTGGTTCATCCAGGTAGAAGTCCTTTCATATAATATTATGCCTGAGCGCTTCTAGGATGTATAACACGTTTAGCATTTCCATCCGTAGAGAGAAAGATATCCTATCTTTTCGTCGTACCAAATCAATGTAAATGTACTACACAGAGGAGGGGGAGCACTAACGAAATCGAGTAATATTGAACTATAGATATTTAATCGTTTTTTCCTGTGTATTTGCAACGAGGTCGACCGCAGACTTCAATATGTTTCTTTTAGACGGCACTGAATTATTTTTCCGAAACCAAAGCCGTACGTTTTGTTAGATACCGCGCTTTTAATTAAATATATTTCTCGCCCTAGGATGATGACATGATTGCGTGAAAATTGACGCCTCTATCATATTAGATGCGAAATACGATCAGAGATTAATGGAATAGGGAATGTTGCAAGCTACTGGGTAATCCAGCTGAGATAGCTGACTTTTACTCAGCTATCTCAGCTGGATACTGAGGGGTTTTTTTGGTTGCTAAGATAGTGCAGCTCGTTAGTTCGGAGGTCTATAATTGTACTGAAATTTAGAGATGCAGACGTGAATATGAATTTGTAAAGTTAAAGGTGTTGTCGACAACAGTAGGAAAAATCAACAAAAAAAAACAAGTGAAATTCAAACATTTCAAACGTAGAACTTTGGAAGTTACCACAAACTCAGTACAATAGCCAGACCATGGCCATCCATGGTTTCATCACTGATGAATGATGTTTATGGTGATTGCGGCTACTATGGCTTCCTAGCTCCATCAACGTTAGAACCATGTAGTAAAAACCTTTGAATGTAGAGGTCCACTGAACGCAAAACCGACTGGTTCCTTCTTTTCGGATCTCTAAGGTAGAGATACTAGAACCAGACGTCACTTGAAGTGGAAATTAAAACAAACCTAAACGCAAGACTTGCAATACTGCAAAGTGCTGATTTATTTGAGGCCAATATTTCGGAAAACAAAATTGACCTTCTTCAGGGCCAGAGTTACTCTGTATAGATTTTTGTGAAACTTCGCACAGTAGAAGGAGAGCACCCAAAGTCTACGGAGCCTAGAGCATTTCCAGAGAAAATGCGAATAAGGGTGCAATTCCATTTGGAGCTAAAACAAGTGTGCATCATTGTCACATGATATCTATTCAGATCGGGTCTATGTGAACTAGAACGTAATCGATCACTAAGCTTTTTGGAATAGAAGAAAATTTCAGTCGGACATAACCGTCAAATTCGCCCCGCTACTGTATTTCAAAAATACTGTTTTATCTAAAATTAGTGGCTGCGAGTATGTTTGACCAATTGACCAGTTTCACAAATATTAATCTGCTTTAAAGTAATGAGGATCAGTAGATCATCTGATTTACGTTCTAATTTATCAGGAGCACATAAGGAAAACGAAGGGTTAATCAAACCACATTTACTATTTAAAGGCTGTGGAACAATCGCAAGCCCAGGATAAAGAAACTTTGAGTTTGCACTATGACGAAAAAAAACCTCTAAAGAAATTAAGTACGACACTGCCGGATAAGAAAACCCAATACCACTTTGTGTAAGAAAGGGAACATACGTCCCCACTTGCTGAAGTCAGCTGCTGTGTCGTCAACTCGAGGACAGAGGTACACTGAGAGAAACACTGCCAAATGCCTACAGACAAATATAACAAAAATTGACAAAGAAGATAAAAGTTGGGTGCTCGAATAGATGCTGACCTAGACTGGTTCGAATTTGCAACGAACAACCAAACATATCTCAGAAGGCTACCCACAATTCAACCTAGCCAACCCAATCCTCTGGTCCGTGCCGGCAAAATCTGAGATAACCAAATTTCATTACCCATGGAGCTCCGCTATAAATTACACGAAAAGGTCAGTCTTTGATTGACCAAAGCATGTCCATTCGCCTTAGTTACTTAATTTGTTACCTTACTTATTTACCTGTTTTTTTTTTTTTTTTTTTTTTTATTCAAAAAAAAAAAAAAGATTATAAAAAAAAAAAAAAGTGATAATGAAAGAATTACGAAAAAAAGAAAAAAAAAAGCGGTAAAAGTTTTGTTCAAAGAAATGTTAAACCAAAAACTAGGGGGAACACCAAAATTAAATTTAAAAACACACTCCCTATAACCTAGCCCACCCCACCCCCTCCCCCCTCCCCGCCCAAACTGAGATAACCAAATTTCATTCCCCCTGCAACCCCCCAAAAAATTCACCCAAAAGGTTAGTCTTTGTTTAACCAAAACATTTCCATTTGCTTTTGTTTATTAATTTTTTACCTTAATTATTTACCTTTTTTTTTTTTTTTTTTGTATTTTAATCATAAAAAGAAATAAGATTATAAAAAGAAAAAAAAGTGATAATGAAAGAATTACGTACAAAGGAAAAAATATAGCTGTAAAAGGCTTGTCCATAGGAAGGTTAAACCCCATACTAGGCGGAACACCAATATTAAATTTAAAACCTACATCCCTGACTCAGCAAAAAAAATGAGTGAACAAAAAAACAAACATTAAAAAACAAAGGCCCAAACAAAACACCGTAACTATTTTAATATTAAAATATCAATTATTATTAGCCAATGTATTTCGTTTTCTTTAAGTTACTTAAAGCTATTATATCTTCCCTTTAGGTGTCAAGTAAGCTTGTAGCTTGTTCCATGGCCTCCTCAAGCGAAACAGACATACCACATCGACGGTGGTTAGTGGTTGGCACTGTTCTCAACAGAGTTCTCATGCCATATCTCAGAATGAAGATTCAACAGGAAATGATTCCATTTTACCAAACTCTGGTTGCAAATTTTGGTATAGACAAGCAAATTTATCGCTCTCACCAGAAAACTTTTCCTACAAGTGCGATAAGGCTGAACTACGAAAGCATCAACCATAATGCCGCCAGGTTTCGAGACCCGCGTTACTATGACTATCGTGTACAGGATGAAGTTTCTTTAGCTAAGTTGTTTATGAAGTCTTACATGGCACATTTCAATGCATTTGATAATTCTTTTGATGCTTCAGCGGCTCTGGCTGTTCTTTGCTGTGCTCCACCATTCACGTCTGCGAAGCTCACTGCTGAACGTGTGAGATCTGAAGTGCGAAATGCATGGGCCCATTGTGACGATGTATCATGGACAGACGTCAAATACGATACATGCTTTGATCTAATGATAACCTTGGTTGAAGACCTAGGATTTGCCCCAGCAGAAAAAGAAAAACTCCTGGGTAATCTGCAGTTGTGGAGGGTACACGGTAAGATACCAATACCCATTTTTTGATTATAAAGTATAGCGTTTAACAATATATGCTTCAGCTGGTGGCGCTCAGGAATGAACCATAGAATTTGTGGAGATTTACGTCCCCAGCGTCTTGTGGTGATGTTTTTCACTTTACGCTAATATTCAAATCATTAAAATTGGAATTTAAAAATAATATACGGTTTAGCGAAGCTGAAAAACAGAGATCCTGCTGGGTATTTTTCACTAGCCTTCACTTGATTTCCCCGAAGGTTGTTGCAGAGTTTATTTCCAGAAATGTAGGGATCGGTTACCATTTGCAAAGAGGGGATTATCCAACTTTTTAAGCTAAATTTTAAACATCTGATCGAGCAACGTTAGGTATTCTCTGTACTGAAGATGATAACATTTTAAATTTCCGTTCGAATTCGTTGAATTGTAAATTTAACTTGTTTTTCATAGAAATCTAGCCTTCGAAGCAAGCGTTTCCGCTCAGTTATTAGTTTATTGGCCACAAGGACTTAGACTACGAGTAGTCCCCCATTTTTCCTCAGGGATAGTAGCGCGAGCGAAACGCGAGCGCGCGTGAAAAACACCCCACGCGAGAAAAGGCGACACGCACTATACATTACTCCATGACTAGTACATTTCAGTTTGAATTCATCGCATCTTTTGAATGTAAAACATTGATAATACTCACACTGGAATGTGCTTGTCATGGATATATGTATTGTCCGCATTAATTTGGAAAAATTAGCATAACGTCAAAACAGTGAGTGTTGTTGCGCGGATTTTTGAGAGGTTCGTAGGATTGGTTTGTCTTGAAATTTCAAGGTGTTGCAGTGAATCAATCTTAATGAAAGTTTCAGACATTGTTACATACATTATGAAGATTATGTGAAGAGATTGAAAAAAATCGTTCGAGTCGTTTCAGAGATATACAAAAAGGCGCTAAAAGTCCAAATTTTGAATGAAGTTGCACTTCTACAGGTGGTTACGAAACGGGTTAGGTTTTAAGATCGCAAGAACGAAAATACACCAAAATTTCCAAGCATCGAAATATGATATTAAGCAGCATTCTGACCCTACTTAAGAATAATTTGAGTCATTTATAACGTTTTATCAAATAATCTATCACAGGTATTGAAAATTTAAGGTTTGAAATATATTTTGGTTTTAGTCGAATTTAAACATACAAAATTTTTTACCTGTCACGGAGGTTATTTGCTAAACACTAAACTTTAAGTTCCTAGTGTTGGATTTTTAGTAGCTGGTCTAAATCGCGCAAAAGTAGGCGTTTATCAATTTGAAAGTTTTTTGTTTATTGTTGTCTTAGTAATATCGATTTTACTAAAACTTACATTTTGACAAATTTCAATCTATAGTCAATCATTGGTGAAAATTTTATAGCGATCAGACACGGATAAAATCACTTTTAAAGCGATTGAAAAATATCGGTATGGCCTCTGAAAAACTATATCGAAACACCTTAAATATCAATCTTGTCAATAAATGTAACCTATTAGTATATATATCACAGCTTGTAAGGTATCCTACAATTCAGTCTTCTGACTGCAAAAGGGACAATAAACCAGTGATTTCATTTGATTTGATTTGGTTTGTCCGTCAGATCGAGTCAGCTCGCTCCTGTATTCTGCAGTTATGAATTATATAGCGCCGGAAATCAGTATTATTACTAAACGATATCCCGAGGTAATTGCCTGTATAAGTGATTTTTCCAAAGCCTGAAATGAAACATCTGCCATTCACCTCAGTTTTTAGTGCGTGCTTTAAGGTGACTCGACCCAGTATTTTTATAGGAACACCCTCCGTCTTTGAATCTCTTATACTTAAACAAATCGATCTGTATTGTAAAACGATTATGACACACGGATTACACTTAGACTAAACTTTTTTATGGTATTATTTTTTGGGCGATGGGAATAATTGTCACGTACAATGACTTCTCGACGGTTTTAGCTCTAAATCGAATTTCAGCCCTGTTCGGCATTTTCTTTTGAAATGTGTTACCTAGTTATTCTTTGGATATCTTTCTTTTGCTGTGCGAAGTTTCACAAAAATCTATGAGAAGAATTTCGAGATATCTTGGAATTTCTATAAAAAGGGTATAAATTATGCCTGCACTGAAGACTGGACTTAATGCAGACAAATTTCCTACTTTTTGGATGTTTCCGAAAAGGCTTTGTCACTCATTTGTTTTGCAAATGACCTTTATACACTCTAGAAGCCGCTGAACGCAAGCACACTTGCGCGATTTCGAAACACATGAAAAGGTATGAATCAGGGTAGAACGCAATGCTGAGCTCTTTTTGTAATTTCTAAGGCTACGTTCACTAAAACAGCGATTAAAACAAAATTCGTCGATAGATTTTTAAAAATTTTTTAGTACATTAATTGATCAGTGTACTATTAAATTCCCGAATTTGGTGTCGATTGAAAAATTCTAAAGTTTGTCTAACTTAGGCGCAAAAGGGAGTGGATATTGAAGCGACGTCATATATCTGGCTAAGTTTTTGCTCTGGGTCTTCCTATTGTCTTGAGTTTACCTCAACAGCAAATTCCCATGCAGCACCCGCGAATTTACCGCGCTTGGTTGCCCTCTGAAATCTTTCCGAAATATGGTATTAAATGCCATAGAATGGGAGAAAACAATAGCGAAAAGAATTCAGAGGGCAACCAAGCGCGGTAAATTCTCGCGTGCTGCATGGGAATTTGATGTTGTGTAACCTTCAGCTGAATATCACGTCTTTTGAAGTCAACAAGAACTGTATTTCAAAAGCAACTTTTAAAATTCCATGGCGGACGTGACACCCCCCCCCCCTTAATTAAGTCATAGCACAACTAAAGCGAAGCTCGACCAATAAGGCGTTGTCCCTAAAAGCGCCTCTCAGCAATATTAACAACGCGTTACAATTAGTATATTTAAAAAATATCATTGATAGGTACATGTATGGGGGTACCTGTCTTTCCTCCCTCAGCTCATGCTTGTCAATAATTGGCGACCAGGAAAGTCCATTTATGGCATGATTTCCAGTGTCGGTCAGAGCTGTCTGCCAAATCGGTCGATTCTTAGAATCCACCCTCCATTTTCATGCAATTTGAATCAAAACCTCTTCCAGAGGAGTATTCATTTTTTTTCTTTTTACCGGTCTAGTCGTTCAGTTTAGACTGATGGTAATTGAGTACAGGTTTACTCGTAAGATTTGTTAATGGCCTAATGACTGCTTGTCTGTTCTCTTTCTGCGTAGGAGTAGAATTCTGTGTTGGTAAGCCCCTTGACGACTCTTTCCTTCATGTGATACGCGATGAAGTTCAAGCGCTTTCTGGGTCATTACCTGATTGGCTAGAAAAAACAAATAGCGATATAAAGCAAGTACGCGACATGCTAAAGTGTGAGTTTGACAAAATTCAAGCAATGTTTAATGAAGTGATCAGAGGCGGGCACGAAAAAGCACTGACAAACCAAGAGCTGGGACCGGAAGTGTTTGATGCGCCAGATCGAAACAAGTGGTTTACAGGAAGACAAATAGAAATAGAATCGCTTGAAAGGTGCCTTGCTTTGAAAAACAGCGACCACTACTTTAGAATGGCGGCTATTTGTGGCCTTGGTGGATGTGGAAAAACGACTTTGGCAGCTCAATTTGCTTGGAAACATAAACCAGAATACGAGGGAGGTGTATTTTGGCTCTCAATGGAGGATGAGGAGAAGTTTGGCAGCTGTGTTAATGACCTGGCTTTACGTTTAGGACTGATGGCAGATTCGTCAGATTATACACTGTCAAAAATTCTTTCGTTTATATCCCATCAAAAAAAGCGCTGGCTAATGGTACTTGACAACGTCGACCAACCACAACTTTCTGATTACATGGTTAAAGTTTTGTCTGGAAGATGGAAAAGAGAGTCAAATGGCCACATGATAATAACAACAAGACGGGAAAGAAAAGAAATTTGTCAGTGGATAGATCTTGAGCCACATTGTTGTGTAGAAGTCTTCTCTTTTTCTACCCAAGAAGCAAAAAATTTTCTTTTAACTCGTGCTGGTGGTAACAATGCTGCAGGCCAAGAGAATGAGCTAGATGAGCTGGTGGTTGAGCTTGGCTGTCTTCCCCTTGCTTTAGAGCAGGCTGGTGCGCATATCCGATCGCTTCAGTGCCCTTTAAGTAAATATCTGGAGCAGTACAAACGCGAACGGTTACAGTTGTTGAGCGAGCATCAAGCAAATCCCTCATGGGAATACGAGTCTCGAAGTCGTCTTTCAGTCCACACTACATGGCTATTAAACTTTGAGTATGTGAAGACCTCAAAGTATGGAGAAATAGCAACCAGATTTGTACATGCAGCTGCTTTCTTTGATCCGGATGAAATATACGAAGGACTTATTAATGCGGAGCTTCTTTCTCGTGACGTTCTAGATGAAAAAGAAAGGGAACTCCCTCTTACGAATAGCCTCATAGTAGAAGTTTTGACCAAGTTTTCACTTTTCCAGAGAAAGTCTGTTGGATTTATTAGGATACATCGCGTGGTGCAGGAAGTCATTCGTGGAACAATGAAATCTGAAGAAATCACAAAGGCAATGCGCACTTCATTTCAGTTGATAAAGAACGCCGCTTCGCTGAACAGTGAATCGTCGACAGATAAATCTGTTTTCTCCACTATCCGTCACTGGCTGTCATTAAAGAGACATATAGCGTACCATTTATCTCATTTTGGACATAAACTGGATGTCTCACTGACTAACGAACTGACGAGATTAGTAGAAGAAGGTGCGGGAGAAATAGTGTTCGCAATCACTCAAACTTTAGAAAGTTCAAAGCAAACTCCCGAAAATAATCGTAGATTATCTGCGTTGGTCGATGGCGATTACGGCAAGTATCTAGCTCCCGGTGTACCAGAGCTGAAAGTGAAATATGACCGAATAAGGGTACCAGAGCTAAAATCCCACAGCGAGAAGAGTTATGTTTATCCATTGTCGTCCATGGCATCTGGAGTGCCTGTTACAGATTTGATTAAGTCACGCTTGAAAAAAAGTTGGTAAAAATCGGCCTATCGATTGAGTGGGGGCGTGATAGGCACAAAAATTTTTGGAGTTCTTGGGGCCATAACTTCCTTTCCTTTAAAGGCATGACACTGAAATTAATACAGGCAACAATACTTGACTCCAGGAAAATTTTGGAACAGGCGTTTTGTTGGTAAATAGTTACGTGACCCTCTAGTGGCCAATTAAAAAATCAAAACTCCCAAAGACTTCTCCTCCAAGAGAATTAAACCTGAAAGTGTTTAAAATTGAAGAACTTGTCCTTAAACTGCTGTTTCATTTTTGTGATGACGTCACAAAATGGGCTTTTTGGTCATGGGCAGTACTAACCCAAAAAATGGCGAGTTCGAAAGAAAAAGACAAATACAAAGTGAAAGTCTCAACTCATTAGCTTCTATAGTTTAAGAGATATTTGTAACATTCAACGCATATTTTTAAACAAACTTTGGACACATTTTGTGACCGATTTTTAGCACTTTTTTTCCCAGCGTGAGTCAGGACAGATTGAACTATAAAGTGGAAACATTGTGTTTAAACAATTTTATGACGCAAATAAGGATATCCTAACAGAGTGCCTTTCTAAAAGTATCCCTAGATTATTTTAAAGACTTCCTCTGCCTCTACATCTTGATAAAGAGAGTGATTTCGTGTAATGTTTAAAAATTAAATAAATTTTTTAAGGGCTTAGATTAATACTTTGTTCTTAGCTCTGTATTTAATATTTCATATGTATATACTTCAATTAATGTATTTTAGTTCAGTAGTATACACGACCCCACAAGCTTTTTAGCTTTAACTCAGTCTTATCGTGTCAAAATAAAGGTTTTATGTTATGTAATGTTATGTCATGCTATTGATAGGGGCATGTATGGGGGATAACGTCTCTCAGCTCATGCTTTCTTATAAGGGTCAACCGTAGTCAACAATGGGCGACCCAGACAGTCCGTTCAAAACATGAATTGTAGTATAAATCAGAACTGTCCGCCAGATCAGTCGATTCCTCAAACCCACCCACTTTTTTGATGCAATTTGAATAAAAAAAAAAAACCTCAACTCTGCATCTTTCTTTCAATATGTACGATTTTTATCCTTTTCATGAATGATTCCTCTTTCTTGGATTCTGTTATTTTTTATTATGTGTATCAGTCTTGTTTATTCACAATATCACGTATATATGTAAAATACTTACATAACCTCGTGTTAGATATTTTTCTATATATATCAAGCCCTTGGAGTCAACCCTTTCCGACGAAAAATTATTAACGCCTTCTCAGTAATATCCAATCAGAGCAGAGCTATGATCATACGTCACACGCTGAGTCACAGAAGCGGGACTTGAATTGCTGCCAACAATGGCGGTAGCCAGCGTGGAAGAGTTATCTGATGATAGTTCTGATCTTCTATCGGGTTAAAAATACCCGCTTAAAGCCTAATAACAAAAAGAAAAAGGTGATATACTCATGCGACGTCTTCAAGTTTACTTGTAATCTTGACAGGTGGCTACATATCATAAGTTTTATCACGAACAACCCAGTCCCGGCCCTCGATGGCGGGTAAATAAATATTGAAAAATCAAGCTCTTTAGTTACTTTACTTTACTGGTTAACTCACTTGTGCAATGCTTTAGAGCTTTTTACTAATTCCACAAAGGACCACACTACATCATCCCACAGTTAATTTTGAAGTAAAAAGTATGTTGTTCCAACAGTTTTACAGATCGAACACGGACTGCATCTTTCGCTTGCGCGGCAGCTGTAATTGTGCGAGACCTGAGGTCGCGAATTATGAACGGACTTTTATAAGCCAAATTAATGTGGCTGTGGATGAAAATGGCTTTTGATAACATACAATCTCAACAGCAAATATTTCAAGTGGACATATCAAACAAAAAAACGAGATGTTCAACAGGAATGAAATCGAATTAAAAGCGAAATTTACTGTTGTGTACCTAACATTCGCACAATACAACAACTGTCGATACAAAATCTACTGAGTCTGGTATTTTTCTCTTGCTACTAAGAAACTAAGTAACATGTAAACAAGGAAAATAACAGGCAGTCATAAAATTAAAAAAGGAGAGAGCCGATGGGGCTAGCGACTTCAAAAGATTAAAATCCTTGAATGAAAGAAAGGTTCTCAAAGGTTTCACAGCGGAAGTTATTTGTTTCGGCATGTCACGTCCTCCTGTATATTTCTTTTGCGGTTATTTGAGGTCTACAAGTATATGCTGCGGCCATGAAATCTTGTAGCATCTTGAGAAATAGTGTGATTGCCAAACAGTGTTTAATTTCTCCCTGAGTTTGATAATTCTGCACTCAAAGGGTTTTTGTAGCTTTCATGTCTTGTGGCAACTAAATAATAACCTATATAGCACCATCAAAATGAATAAAAATCCGGACAACATAAACCGATACCTTTTTTCATTTCGACGTTATGCTTCTTTAAATGAAATCCTTCAAAATCATGAGAAAACATCTTGATTTTCGCTGTCCCAGGTTGCGGTAGATAAGACACAGAAGACACGACAGTTTCTACTTACAAAGGCCGCGGAAGGCGCAAAATTGCCTCCGATTTGCCGGTTCCATACAGACCTTACCGAAGCGCTCCGATTCCATTTTAAAAAGTCTGGCTCTCCAACAAAAAGTTTCACTTTTTAATTCTTTGAAAAGCTCCTTTTAAATAAGGGCGATGGAATACAACATTATGAGCCAAATTTAAACAGCCGAACAGTGCTACAACAGCAAACACGGCCTCGTGCGTTGCAACAAAATATAGCAATTTTTTTTTAGCCAGATTACATATTATTTGTATTAACTCGAAACCAGCTTTCCTCGGTTGTAAGGGAAGGAACGGAGGCAGGAGCTACGGTGATGGAACAAGGAGTAAACTTGTTGGCCAATTTCCCTCTTTCGTCGCCATTTTTTTCTCACTACAGAAATATGCGGACGTCCTCGAAAACAATTAATTAAAATTAATTTCGCGAGAAAGCCTGTTCTAAAAATAATTCTTTATCGGAAAGGGTTGACTCGAGGGTACGGCACGTATGGAGGCTCCAAGTAATCGGCTCCTGATATATGTAGCCCTTAGCTTGTGTAAGCTTTAAGGTTTTGATAATTTTTTGTACACTGAAAAGGCCCAAGGGGCGAAACGTTTTACCGAACCACAAACTAGACGTTTCCAATAAGAATTCCCCAGAATGTTTACAGCACGATGTTAACTCATTTCCTGGTGTTTAGTGTTGTCATTTCTGATTTTCAAATGAATTATTTCTTCTCTGAACATAAATTAGATTTCTTGGTCACGTCTAAATAAGACCTAGGTTGTTTCACCTTTCAGCCAGTTGATATTATCAACTGGGCCGTCCTTCCCACTTTATAAAATGAGTAGATTTCTCCGTCAAAAAATGAACACTATCAATGATTAACCCAGTAACCCAGAGGGCGTTGCTTGATCGATAAAGCTTGTTTGTCCGCATCTTCGCAGAGTCTGTTTAAAAATTTCTTTCTCTGACAAGCCTCTTTGGAGGTCTAAATTTCGGATCAGCATAAAGAAGACTTGTCCGACGAAAACAGGAACTTTGAGAATTTCGCACACACATTCATTGGCGAGAGCGCAAATGAGCGGCGAAGCTTCGAGAATGCAAAGCTTCAATCACCGGGAGCCTCAAGTACCAACTTGAGAGAAATAGAGTACTAAGGCAAGTTACTTACTAGTACAAGGTTTGGTGAGTTAGCATCCTAGAGCTTACAGTTGTTCTCAATGTGGCCCAGAATTGTTGCTTTTGTTTGTAACCGCCTCATTAAATTTGTGCGTGATCGATTGTTATCATGTGCTTCTCCTAATTTGACGTTAGCATTTGCGAGTTTCAATAAACTTTGAAAGTTCATAAACTGCCGCTTATAAGCCTTGGGCTTATACATCTTTGAAAGGGGTTTTAGGAGGGCTTATAAGCAGAGGGGCTTATATCCGAGGGGGCTTACACATCTTCGTAACTGGTTTTAGGAGGGCTTATAAACAGAGAGGCTTATATCCCAGGGGGTTTACACATCTTCGTAAGGGGTTTTAGGAGGGCTTATAAACAGAGAGGCTTATATCCCAGGGGGGCTTATAACCGAATAGAAAAAGCGCCTCGAAACCAGCCATAGCGGTGTGATCAAAGTACGTTTTGCATGTACCGATTTCAAATAAAGTTTCAAAACATCCTCTAAGATTGAATCCATTCGAATAAATAAAAATATAAGCTAGAGGGATTCTTATATCCGTTATCAGGGGGGCTTATAATCGGAAGTATTTTTTTTGTTAATAGGTAGATGGGCTTATAACTGGGGCTTATAAGTGGGCGTGCTTATAAGCGGTAGTTTACCGTTTTAAATGATGTGTCGTAAAGTCCGATGTATGTTTCTGTTGAGGTTGGTGTGGTGACTTCAGCCTGGTATAAATTATTTTGAACGTGACAGTTTCCATCCATGGGGCAAGTGTTGGGTTTGTTGCAATATTGCAGCTCTTTCTCTCTTCATCAGTGCGCGTGGATTTACTATAAATTCCCTTTTATTGTGGTTGGGTATAATGGCTTTAACGTTGCTCATAATCAAAATTTGCCACAGCACCCAATTCTTTGTCAAATAAACAAAAAAAGTATTGTCAGCGTACCTTGCGGTAAGGGTGCTTTTTACCCGGCGTAGTCAATCGAACGTTCGGTAATTGAACCCAATCGAACTCCAATCGTTCGATTCACTTCGATTGGGTTCGGCAATGGAACACAATTGAACTCAGCCAAAAACTTGGCCGATCGAACACAATCAAAAATCGAACACTGCATTCAACAATCGAACATAAACCAG